GGGTGGCTGTTTTCCCACTGTGGTGACCGCCGCCCCTGGCCTCAGGACAGAGAGGGGCCCGGGCCAGCACTCCCCATGGGCAGCACTGGCTGCTTCCGGTGGGGTTCTGTCCTCCCACTAGTCCCTCCCTCCCGGGAGGCGTGGTGGCCGCTTCTCACTGCCCAGGGGTGGTTCCTGGTTCCGTGGTGCTGAGCTCAGGAGTTAATTCTTCCTTCTGGGAGTTTGCAGGCACTTGGACCCCCACCGTGCCCTGCAAGCCCTGCCCACCCTCCTCCCAGCGTTTCTCTGTCCCTGCCTGTGCCCACAGCCTGTCTGTCTGTGTGGTGGGTCTGGTGAGGTGCACAGTGTTAGTGTGCAGGTTAGTGCGTCAGCACAGGCACTCGCTGCGCAGCCACCCCCAGGACTCCTGCAAAACTGAAACTCTGCCCCCGGCAGCCGCCATCCTGCTTGTGTGTCTGGGCGTTTCCTGCCCTCACTCGCGTAGTGGACCGTCCAGTATTCGTCGTGTTGTGACTGGCCTCTCCCTGAACGTAGCGTCCTCGAGGCTCGTCGGTGCTGGTGCGGTCAGGGTTCCTTCCTCGGCCGCTGTGGTCAGACCACATTTGCGCCCCCACCCGTCAGCGGCCATTGGGGGGCTTCTGCCTTTGGCGGCGAGTTCTGCGTGAGCACCACGCACACGTGTCTCTGAGACCTGGTTCCCAGCCCAGAACTGGAGTCCCTGGATCACAGGGTAATTCTGTGCTTCAGTTCTTGAGGATCCACCGTGGGTGTCCACAGTGGCTGCGCCGTTTCCCTTCTCACCAGCAGAGCACACGCTCCGTCCCCCGCGTCCTTACCCGCCGCCCTGCTTCTCCTGCGCTTTAGTGTGAGCGGCCGTGCTGGCGGGCATCTCACTGCGGCTGCGATGGGCATTTCCCTGTGAGCTGAGCCTGAGCGTCTCAGGGGCTTCCTGGCCATTTGTTTTCTTCCTCAGAGAAATGCCTGGTCTGTCTTGTGCCCGTTGTGTCGGGCTGTTGGGAGTTGGTTGCTGTTACAGTTCTTCATGTCTCTGGACACCATGCCCTTTTATTCCCTAGTATCTGTACCCCCAGTTCTTCGGGTCCATCCCACCCACACTCACCCCGCAACCAGGTGTGTTTAGTAAGCGGTGCCCTCGTGAGGGGCTGTATTTGCTTTCTGTGGAACCCCACACTCCCTGGACTGTGGGTGCCCTGCTGCCTCCCTCCTGCTGTTCTGCATCTGTTTGTCTGCAAACTTCAGAAACAGTTGGTCAAGCCCAGAAGCTACCAGACCCTGTTTGGATTCTCGCCGCTTTCATGGATTTAGGTTCTGTGTTCTCGTATGTAAGAGCGGGCCATCCAGGAACACGTGTCTCCCTGTACGGAGGCCCATTTGCCACGTTTTGTACTTAAAGTCTGGACCTTTCTTAAGTTCATCTTCGGTAGGTTCTGGCTTTTATTGCTGTGAACAGAACTTTAAAAGTTTACAGTTGGTTATTCCAAAAGCCTGAGGAGTTTAAGAAGGGGGGGCGTGGCCCCTCAGCTTGTCCTGAGCCGCCCTGTGGCCGCCAGGGCCCCAGCATCAGACGCTGCTGGCACCTTGGCCACTCCCGACCTGATTTCCCGGAAGTAAGCCCGTCACACGCTGCTCCTTCTTCAGGCTTCTCCCTCGCTTCTGTCCCTTACGCCCAGTCGCCTGCATTTCTGTGCTGCCTCCTGCGTGCTGAGCTTCTCGGGCCGGGACCAGGTCTCGGCTCCACCGATGCCCAGCGGCCAGCAGGCTCGCAGGTGTGTGCGGTGTTTTCTCTAGAGGCAGCGGCGCTCGAATACATTACAAATAACGGTTTCGTGTCCGTGTCTCCGGTAGTTCCCAGCACAGGCGGCTTGGCTGCTGCCCTGAGCAGGGACGGGAAGCCTGTTCCCCCGTCGTGACGCCGCCCGCACGTCCATTGCTCCCGGGGCCTCCGGGCCTTCCCG